TTTTCCTTCTGAGGTTTGAGTTGTTCTGAATAAATCAATACAGCCAGGAGGTGCCGAGGTCATGCAATAGAAACGCTGGAGCAAAGCACTTCTGAATTAGATTGCTAAAATGAAAAGGGAAAAAAAAAAGAAGGGAGATAACTTTGTAGTTCCCCTGAATAGATAATTCCTTTTCATACAGACATGTGCTTTGGGGCTTTTCTGGGTTTGATGTGCTGCTTTGCAGTGGTGTATATTTTTCTGGTCCTGTTTTCAGAAATGTGCTTAATTTTGAATGCTTGAACATGAAAGGATAAGTTATAAGACTTTATCGTTATGTTTATAATTATGCAGATAATTGTGTGAGAGAGTCCTACAAGGATTTGGAAACTTCACTGTGATGTAGGTTCTGAGTGAGTAGTTTGGAGAGGAGCATCAGTGCAAACAGCTTTAAGAGAAATCACTCCAAAAATAGGAACAAGGATAAACCTTTTTGGGATCTGATGATATCTTTAACAATCAGACAACGTACCATTAGCAGTGGCATATTTAGCAGTGGATCTTCGCTGCAGGGATTTCAAATAGCCCGTCTGAGTCAGCTCCTTGCCCACCTTTCCCACTATAAATTGATACCCACGTCCAGGCTGTCACCTCTCCCTTTACACTGATTCAAAAGCACATTCTCATTTCATTTTGACTCACTCCCCCCCCTCCCATCTCAGCCTGTGTTCCCTTCCCTGGGTTTTCCATCAATAGGAGGGTTTGGTTGGGGTTTCAGAGCACACAGACACTGCAGGGTGGGCAGAGCTCAGAGGCTGAGCCGTGCCCTGGAGCTGCCACCAGTGAGGGTGTTGCTGGTGGAAAGGTTTGTGCAGCCACAGAAAGGGAAAGAATAACAGAAAATGGGTATTAGCAGCACTCAAGTTCTCAGATGATCCCCCTTGCAACAACCAAGTACATCCCTTCAAAGCAAAGATCCCTCTGAGCTTCCCCCAGCACGACCAGCGGCAGCCCAGGCTGATTTATGAGTTAGTCAGCGTGTCAGATTTATGTAATGAGATTATACATTCAATCTAATGAAGGAAAAATATGCTTACCAGCCCAGTATGACAGCACTGTGATTAAATGATTGGGGAACAGTGTTCCCTCAGTGGATTAATTTAAGGGATGCAGCAGGTACAGCTGACCTGCTTCCCGTGTTTGCATCTCCAGGCACGGAGATGAATGGGGCCTGATTGTGTGGATGGAACAAGGGATGGGATCAGAAAGGGAGAGAGGAGTGTTTGCATCCACCAAACTGGCCTTTGCCTTGTGTTAAAAACTCCCACGGTGATTTATGCTGCCTGTTTGGGTCTTGGGGTGGAAAGGGAAATAAAAGGAACAAAGATTCTGCCCTTCAATGCGTCCCTGGAACCTGCCCTGCCCATCCCAACTGCAACACCGAGGAAGATTTCTCCAGCTTGAGTTTTTAGGAGCAGGAGTTTGCTGCTGGGTCCGAGAGGGAGGTAAGGATGTGGTTTACTGCCTTTCCAGCTGAGAGGGAGACTATTTAAAAGCAGAATCTTGACTATGCTACAAGAAACCTTTGTGCTGTCGTGAGTCAGGTGTTGACCTTTCCCATCTCCAGATCCTGAAGCGTTTATCTTGCATGGAGAGAGCAATTGATTGTCTCTTGAAAAGGAGGTGACATTCTAACTATATTATCTTTGATATATATGTACTCTGGGGATTGACCACACGAGAAAGTCAGATGTTGTGTTTAAAGGGCAGGAGAGGATAAGCCAGAAACGGGGGCACTGGGGGCTTTTGTCTTCTGACCTGCCAAATTATCACGTGTGCCCACAAGAGCTGGGGGGGTGGGGGGGTGTTTGCTGCAGGTGGGTATTTCATCTGTCTGTATTCTCAAACAAGATCACTAGCAAGAACCAAAAATGCAGCCAGGTCCTGGGATGTTTGAGTCACACTGAGCAGCTGATGAGGAATTAGTGCATCAAACCATTCCAGACCCACGCCTGGTCTCTGACCTGCTCTCATCTTCGAGGTTTAAATAACAAATATTAAAATAAAGAACTTAAACGAGTTTGGTATTAAAGCCAGCCAAGCAAAAGTCATTTCTGCTGCTGCAAATAGGAACATCCTTCAGTCTTGCAGGAGGTTTACCAGCTGTGCAGCCTCCCTCAAAGCTGGCAGAGCGGGAGTGATTCCTCCTCTGGAGTTGGTCATTTTGCTCCTGGAATTTCATGGGGGGGAAAAATGTCACCATCAGGCTCCAAAGCAGCCCAGATTTTAGGGTGTAACACTCTGTTCTCGTGGAGGCCACAACTCTAACCCCTGAGATGGGCAGAGGTTTAAGTAACCTGTGCCAGGGGACAGAGACCTGGCTGAGGTGGGATGAGGTTTATTTTTTACAGAAGGAAAGTTCTCTAACTCCCATTGTAATCTACGTAGGATGTGGGGCAATAGCTGATTGTACTTTGATAATGCTGTAAGCTGGTCTTTGATAATTGCTTTCTGTAATTGGAACAAATTTGTGATTATGCTAATTCGTCTGCTGCTGCCACCCAGCTCGGAGGGGCTGAGTTAATCCCCATCTGCCCCTGCACTGCCTTTGGAGATCATTCCCTGATTAGCCTTCCTAAGAAATTATGGGGGTATTTTAATTCTGAGCAGATTGAATTTCAGGGGAAAAAACCCCCAGATATCTTTATACAAACTTATGGCATATTATAGCAGGTTTTAAGTCTGGTTCAATATAGAAACATTTAAGATCTTCAGATGGACTAATTCCTAAAAAGAAAAGGATATAATTCTGTTACAAGCAGCTGTGTGACCTCCACTGATGACAAAGGGAGGGGAGTTAAATGCTGATGAGTTTTGAGTCTACTCTTCAGAGGTTGCAATTCAGGGCCCTGCTGCTCATTTCAGCGTGAGGACATTGCAGATGCTTTGTTGCCTTTATTTTCCTTGCTTGGCTTGTGTGTGTTTGTGTGGGGGACTGAATTTTTCCAAAGGTCACATCCCTGCCGGTGACAACCATCTTTTGTCACCACGACTCCTTTGAATTTATCAGCTTTATCCCCTAAGTTCATCCCTTAGTTCTCCATCTTTGAAAGCACCCACCTGCTGAGGCAAAGGCAGGGAATGGCTCTGAAGAAGTCTGGTTTTCTTCAAGGGAGGGGGAGCTGGAGTGAGGGGAGTGTTGGCAGTGCCATCCACTCCAGATGAGAAGGAAAAGGCGCCCTGTGTCCCCCAGAGCAAACCCTGGTTTGATCTCACGTCCAAACACTTGGGTGTTTGTGTTCTTCCATCTGTTCAATGTTCTCCCTTTGCTGGGATCATCGTTCTTCTAAAGGCTTTGCTTTAATGGCAGTGGTTCTTGTTCCCCAAACCTCGCAGTGCCAGGCTCAGCAGACGCCGGAGCAGCGTGTGCTCCCTCCGGGAACAGCCCGGAATGTGTGACAGGAATGGGGACACTGAGCCCTCCCCTGCCCCTCCCACCAACCCACAAAATCCCTGACCTGATCAGAGCCAAAATGCCCCTGTGACACAGTGAACTCTGGGGATGCTGGACACGTTTGTCGTTGCTCTCTGCACGTAGAGTGGTTTCGGTTCTGAGCGTGACCATCGAATTTCTGTCACTTGATTTATGCTCCTGTGGCTGCTCCATAATTTAAATTGCATTCCTAATTTCTGTGCTGAAAACCCCCTTGGATAATTAGGATTAAAGTTAACTGCAGAAGGGAGACTGAGTAGCAGACAGATCCCTTGGTTGTTCTGTGTCTCAGAGCAGAGGAAAATGGAACGAGCTGCAGGAGATGCTGTTCAGGGGAGGGTTTGGCACTGCTGGCACAGGGGAATTGTCCCTTGGCTTGGGGAGGGAACAGCAGGGAGTCAGAGCTGGATGCTCTTTTACCCAGATGTGTAAAATAACTGTTTCATTCTGTGGTCATGGTGTGGGATAAAGTGCCACAGAGCCAGAGGCTGAGTTTGCAGCCGTGGGCCGGGACACGGGGAGATGGATCCGTCCCTCCCACACCTCCTGTCCCAGCGACCCCACGAGTGATGCTCCTGGAACGGGGAACCTGCTGCCTGGCACGGGCTGTAATTGGCTTTGCTGGTCAGCTTTTGCAGATTTGTTTATAAACTGGAAAATCCACAAATTGCAGACCATCTGCGCAGAGCAGAGTGCTAATGAGTGCCTGTAGCTACCAAATCCATAAGCTCATTACCATGAACTTCCAAGTCCTTCCACAAGTTACTAAACGAGGTTATTCATCTGAACTGAGCTGGGAAGGGTATTTGACTCCAGGGCCCAGCCATACCTCCTTCAGGTCTAAGGAAAGCCATTAAAATAACTCACATGCCTTCTGTCTTTTCGTAGAATCAGTTGATTTTGCTTCTATTTTTAAGTTTTTTCACTTCTGCAACAGCAGCTTACCACGCCTTAACTATTTGTTTTTGATGTTTCAAGGGGAGAAATGCCCTGCAGATAATTCCTGGGGCTGCTCAGAGACGTGCTGGTTGGTGAACTCCAGAAGATGTATTGCAATACATTATACACAGCGTTTCGTGGTGTTTATGTGCCATGACAACAAACACTGATGGTCTCTGTTTCAAGGGTGTTTATGGAAATGGGGAATTTGTTATGATGAGTTGGCTCTTCCACTGTTTGTGATGTCAGGCAGTTTTGTCTGTAGTGTCTCTTTAGTGTCTCTGTACTGACACTTCAGTGTCTCCCTGTTTCTTCTCAAAAAAGTAGAATCAGTATTACTTCTTATGTGCCATCCCAGTCTGATATGAACCTTAACTGGCAGTTGTCCACTTGTTTGAACACACAAAGCAGGGCGTACCAAGAGCAATATTTACAAATATTTCTTATCCTCTCTTGGTGGAGATTTTCTTCCGTGTTCTTTGAGCAAAACTGGGCCTTTCTGAGTTACCAGCCAAAGGAAGTCAGACTAACCAGGCCATCAGTGTTCTTTGGCCTCCTTCAGGTTCTCCTCTGCTCCTCCCCCGTGCAGGTGGAGTGGCTGAAGAACGAGGAGCCCATCGACTCCAACCTGGACGAGAACATCGACACCAGGGCCGACCACAACCTCATCATCCGCCAGGCGCGGCTGTCGGACTCGGGCAACTACACCTGCATGGCCGCCAACATCGTGGCCAAGAGGAGGAGCCTGTCTGCCACCGTGGTGGTGTACGGTCAGTGGATGGGGTCGCTGTGGGGAACGGGGTGAGGGGGCTCTCTCTGGAAACTTGGTGTTTCCAGCGCCCCACACCCCATGGCTGGCCTCCCACTGAATCTCCCACCGGGTGGGCTTTGCTGCTGGGTGCGTTCTCCCCCACCCTGAGGCCCGTTTTTTGCCTTGCAGTGAACGGGGGGTGGTCGTCGTGGACCGAGTGGTCCAACTGCAACGCGCGCTGCGGCCGGGGCTGGCAGAAACGCTCGCGGACCTGCACCAACCCCGCCCCGCTCAACGGGGGGGCCTTCTGCGAGGGCATGTCCGTGCAGAAGATCACCTGCACCTCCCTCTGCCCCGGTGAGTCCCTGCAGAAAATCACCTGCACCTCCCTCTGCCCCGGTGAGTCCCCGTGGCACGGCGGGCACCGTGGGTGTCGCGGTTCGGTGCCCCGGCAGAGCTGGGCTTGGAGAGCCCACCAGGGGAGGAAGGGGGGGAAAACACTCACAGCCCTGCTCAGGAGCCTGGTGTAGGGTGTGAGCAGCACTGATGGGCGCCTGTGGCTCCCAGGTTCGTCCCTGCTGTGATTTACGCTGACGAGGCGCTCAACAGCAAACCAGCAACTGGCTGAGTGTGAGAAATCATGGGGTGTGGGGTGGGTGGGGGTATTGGGAAAGGGGGGGGGAGCGAGTTTGGTAACACCAGGAAGATAAGCACAAAAACCTAGAAGATAAGAACTTCGCTCAGAAGCGTTAACCCAGCTGGGAAAAGTTTGCTCTCGGGTATCTTAAACGCGGGGTTGTGGGGGGAGAGACGTGGGACGAGCGTTCCCGTGGGACCTGCAGCCACAGCAGTGGGGTTGCTGACGCTGGTTTTCCTTTCCCCCCCCTCGCCCCCAGTGGACGGCAGCTGGGAGGTGTGGAGCGAGTGGTCTGTGTGCAGCCCCGAGTGTGAGCACCTGAGGGTCCGGGAGTGCGTTGCTCCCCCGCCCCGCAACGGGGGCAAGTTCTGCGAGGGCCCGGGCCAGGAGTCGGAGAACTGCACCGAGGGGCTCTGCATCCAAGGTGAGCGGGGCTGCAATGGGAGCGTGGGCACACCAGTGCCAGCAGAACCTGTGTGTGGAGCTATGCTGAGAGAAGGGGGGGCGGTTACCAAGGGGCTGCCCCCCAATGTGAAGTCTGAAATCCGCGGTGCTTTCGGGGGAGCGGGGTTTGGGTGGCACACGCTCGGCTTAGGGATGATCTGATGGCTCTAAGAATCCAGGCACGGGGGGTTTGCAGTGTGTAAGTGTGGCCAGCACAACCTGGTCCGTGGGATGTGTCCCTCAGCCTCCTGCCTTGCCTTGCAAGGAAAACGGGCAAAGCACCAAGATGGAAACTCCTGGTGCAGGAGCTGCTCAAGGTCAAAGTTTACCCCCTTTGGTGCCTTTAACTCAGGAGTTAAACACAGGCAAATCTGCAGCTCCCTGGGAAAGGGTTTGCCCTTCATCAGTGCCTGGAAAGCATCTGGCACTTGGTAGCTGTTACTATCATCCAAGAAGTGGGAGCCAGGAAAGGAGCCCTGCAGCTGTGGCGGGGCTGTGCAGGCTCCTCACGGGGAGGAGTTGGCACCTTTATTCCTGCCCTGAGCCTGCTCCCTGTTCCTGTGCAGGGACTGTCACCTCACCAGGGGCAATGGCAGCCGTGGGAGCAGTCAGGAGTGCCAGGGCTGAGAGATGTGAACGGGAACAAGTCTACTGTTACTCGATTTTATGTTTAACTAGTCCCCCCTCGTCGTTTCTGTGGTGTCTTTTCTAAACAAAATGAACTGGTTTTCAAGGACCGCTGTGATATTTACTGCTAATTCCAAGAGTGCATTCCTAGGAGCTATTCTAGGATAAAGCCCTCTGAAGCTTTTATAAAATCAAAGAATCCCCACCCTGGTCAAATGAAATGAGAGGGAGAGGAGGGTCTGTGTGTTTGGGGTTCTGTTCACCAGGGCAACGTTATTTTATTTTATTTTATTTTATTTTTTTTTTTATAAAATCCTGTGTGTTTTTAAACAAGTGTCTGTGTTCCCTAAAGCAAGGCTGGTTTTCCTGGTAGGAAAGATAAAAGCTGCCTTGTGATATACCCAGAGGGGAGCTCTGTACGTGTTGGTTCATCCAGCCAGCGCCCCGTGCCTTTCTGGGAGTGCTGAGGGGAGCTGGGTCAGCTCTGCCCTCTGAGCTCTTTGCCTTGTAAACATCTCATCCCCTCCTTTGCCTGGGCCAGGCAGTACCAGGGAGTGTCATGGAATCATAAAATCATGGAATGGTTTGGGTTGGAAAAGACCTTAAAGCTCATCTCGTTCCCCCCCTGCCACGGGCAGGGACACCTCCCACTGTCCCAGGTTGATCCAAACCCTGTCCAGCTCCTCCATCTCTGCTCCAAACTGTGTTTCCGTATGGATTCAGCTGGACTGGAGTGTTCAGTGTCTCCTGTTTCTTCCCCCCCACACACACACTGTGATCCTGTTTCTCCTTTATGGGTCGAGCTGTAGGTATATACTTGTGTCAAATTATTTTTAGGACTCTAATTGCTTTCTCAGCTAATAGGAATTGATGCAATTACCCTATTTTTTAAAAATCTTTTTTTTTTTTTTTTTCCCCCTGCTCATCTTCCAATATGTGCCTTTCCTGCTCTGCCTCTCCTCCCGTGGGGAATTGTGGAGGAAATGCAGCACTGTGCTGCAGAAAACTAATCTCTTGGAGGTTATTTATCAGGCACAACTTGTTAACTTTGTTCCCTTTTGTGAGGCAAAAATAGAAATGAGACCTTCCTTTGGTTAACAAATAAGAACTGAACTGACAGTGAGGGTGAGAGTGGAGGGTGCCAGGGAATATGCACATATAGATGTGATTATTGGTGTGTGTTTAGGTACACAAATGTGGACATACTGTAAATTTTTGTATTTTATGAGTTACTTTTAAGTGTACATCGCTCACCTCTCCATATATCAAACACACAAGAAGTCATTAATTCTGGACTGACTCTTTACCAAGTGATCCACTGCAAAGTATTGAACTTCCTTCTTGCTGAGATGTAAATAAATAACAGCATCCGATAGAGCTAATTCAAATACTTGAATTAACCAAGTGAGAAATTACTGCAAAGAAACATCCTGAAAGGGATTTAGAAAAAGATAAGATGAAGAGAAAAATATGGACACCATAAAATATTCATATTGTCAGCAAACGAGGAGAAAATGTTTCATTTATAGAGTGAGACAGAAGCAATATAGGAAATAGATATGCTCCATATAAATTTATTAAGTGCAACTTTCTCTCTCTCTCTCTCTTTCTCTCTCTCTCAGATAAAAAACCTCTTCATGAAATAAAACCCCAAAGTAAGTTGGTTTTTTTCTCTTGTAAATATGATTTTCCTCATCTTCTCTGCCATTTGGTTTATTTGTTTAGGATCTAAGTACCACGGAAGGTTTTGTAAAAGGCTTTAGCATCTGCTGAAAGCATCTTCTGAGCACCTTTGTGATCATAGCCTAAAACCAGAGAAGTGATCACCCTTTAGCAATTTGTGTCTGACAGGGAGCCCTGTCTGCAGGAATGCTTGTCCTGGAATTGATTCCCCTGAGCCCTTCTGATCAGAAAAAAAAAAAAAACAAACAAAAAAGAAATTAATAGAGGAGTTTGGTTTTCTTGCTCCAGATCTGGTTCCACTCGTGGCTCTGACCTTGCTCTGTTCCCTCCAGCCTTCCTGTCTCACCTGCCAAAGGTGTTCCTGTGCAGAATATCTGATCAGCATTTCTGTGCTGCTCTGGGGGTCCCTGTCCTGCCCCCCACCACTGCAGCCCCAGGGCTGGTGGGGACCACCACGATGGTGATGCTGGTCGATGGTTGGACGTGGTGATCCCAAAAGGGCTTTTCCAACCCTGATGATTCTGTGATTCCGTGATTTTTGCATTCCTGGCTCTTATTTATTTGTGTTGTCTGTGCCCTTCCCCTTTCACAGAGGAACTTGAAAGATTAGCAGTAAAATCAGTTGATTTTCTGATTTATCCAAAAAGTGGCTTTACTGGAATTGATTTCAGCCTGTGAGACACCTGGAGAATGAAAGGGCTCTGCTGCAGCTGGGGGTGAGAGGCATAAAATACAGCTGAACAGGACCTTGGTCCAGGCCCCCATGACTCATCAGTGATGCAAAATCAAAGCCAATTATGAAGATAATTAAGAAACAACCTGTTCTAGCCAATAACCTCTGACACGAGTCTCTGACTTTTGATCCCTGTGCTCCAGGACTGGCTCTGGGAGGGAATGGAGCCCAGGGGGGCCCAGGAGGGAGGGATGGAGAGCAGGGAGCATGGGAAGGGCTGGAAGAACCTCTCAGATCTCCCCACAAAGCCTGCTGGTAGAGGGGGCAGGGTGTGCCCTGCACAGCTCCTGGAAAGCACTTATTGTAAATGAGATAATTTAATCAATTATGTCTCCTAATGTACTAAACCAAATGTTTCATTTTCTGCTCCTGCACATCTTAAATTATCTTCAGGTGCTTTATGAAACTTAATCATAGTTAATAGAAACTTCATTACCATCAAATGTGCTTTCAATAAATGTTGTGTAACAGTGTCAGGAGGTGGAGTGAAAAATAGGCTGCAATTACCACAAACATGGATCCTGGAACCCAACTGGATAAAAATCGTGGTGCTTTGCCAGGGTCCCTCCTGCCTCTGGGCTGGGAGGATGCAGCTCATTAAATTGCTTGGCTATAAATGTTTTCTTTTCTAGTTTGTTTGTTTTTCACTTTTGTTCCCTTCTGGGAAAACATAAAAGCAGAAACTTACCCCACTCCCCAAATTTCCCACGCTTCTCCTTTTTTTTTTTTTCCACCTTAATTTCTAGTCCTCCATGAAAGGGATTCTCTGTCAGGAAAGAGAGAAAGATGAAGAGATTAAAATTACTTTCAAAAGCCAGCAGTTGTTTCTAAAGAAAGAATGACATCCTAAATCAGGAGGGAAGGAGTTGTGTTCCATGGGAATAATTCCAGGAATGCCACGTCCCTCTTGGCTTTGCTCTTTTAACTTCTAAAAGTCTTCAGTGAAAATTCTTCTCCTCAGAAGAATTTTGCTTGGGTCAAACTGTTGTGGTTGTTTTTAATTCCTTGTTCCCTCTCTGCTCTTTAACCTGGGTATTCTAAAGATAAAATAACGTTACAAAAGTGTGACACTGAGATTGCCTGACATCAGAATTGACTGAAAAGAAGCAGCTGAGCTGCTGTAGAAGGTGCAGAGTAAGAAATTGCACTTACAGGTGTAAACTGAGGTGTGTTTTATGGTCTGGTTTGGATGGCAGGAGATCAACTCCAGTATTTTCCACCTGTTGCCATCCCACTGGCTGTAAGTTTTCACTGACAGGTTATTTCTGCACGTTCCACACTGAATAATTTACCATCCCAGGAAGGTGGAAGAGCTAATTCAGATTTTCAGCACTTTCCTGTTTTAAAGTAGTGATCACAGTGGAAGCCCTAAAGATGCTTTGTGGTGCAGTAACCACAGCTCACCCTGCAGAGGGAAGGAAAAATTAAGTCAACAGCAGAGTTTCATAATTAATTCCCTGTAACAACAAAGCAATCTGGGAATAGTAAACTGGAAGAAATAGAAATGTAATTAGTGTGTCTGTACTTCCCTTTTCTGCACCTGATCCTGGAGAGCAGAACCAGTGTGGGATTGAGGCTTTGGTTTGGGGTTTGGGGTTGTCTTGGTTTGACCTGAGCCATTCCCAGCTTGCCCTTGTGACCCTCTGGGTTTGTCCTGTCTGGCATCCTCCCATCTTCAGTCTCACAGCTGACTCTCTGCAATTCTCAACCAAAAATGCTTAAAATTCTCTCTACAATGTTTTTCAAGGGCGGTGAGGGGGGTCTCATGGAAAAAAATGCTTCAGAAAAAAAGGTCTTTCTCTCTAGTAATTGCTTTAGTAGAACTGTGTCCTAAGAAGTTTGATCAGAGCTATTTATAAGTTTATTAATGTGATTTCTCATCCTGACCTGCCACAGAAGGTGGATTTCCTCTCAAAGCTGACATTTGCATGCAAATTTCACGATTATTTTTTTTTTCCTCCTTCTCAGCAAGTTGTGAACGTGTTAAAAGCAGAACCCCTTTTCAGTCTGAGGTTATTTGGAAATGCAGCAAGAATTTTCTTGCCTAATCGGTGATTCTCATAAAACTGATCCGAAAACGTTTCTTTTTGGGGTGAAGGGGGTGCTGGGATTCCTGTGGTGAGGAACAGCCTGTGCTGAGCCCCTCCCCGGGTCGTTCAGCTCTGGGTGTTGTCAGTTGTCTGACACTTGGTTTGCATCTCAGGGAGGTGCCGAGCCGAGGAAATGATGCTGTAGGTGCTCATTTCTCTCCTCTCAGCGGCCTCGAGTTCCCCAATCCTTTCAAAAAATTCAGCTAAAATAAAGTTATCTGCCTTCCTGCAGGAAAGCACAACACAAGCCTCCTCCCGGACGGTAATTAAGTAATTTCGGTAATTGGCTATTTATTAAACGCTGATTTTTGACTTTCTGCCCTATTTCTGTGCAGTTCATTGACTGATTCTGAGCAGTCTGGATTTCCCAGTTATTTTTCTGTCGCTGTCGTTTGGTATAAATAAATGCAGTTTGTGTTCCCAGGGCCTCTCCCGTGCCAGGAGGAGCCCCCCCAGCAGGGAGCAGATGATGTACTGGGTGAACTCCTGGCTCCCTTCCTCCAAACTGGAGCTGGGCATTGAGGGAACCGTCCAAGGACCCACTAAGGGCACTTGCCAAGAAATTTAATTTCATGCTACGCTGTCCCAAATCCCAGCAGACCCACAACAGCGGGCCTGGATGTTTCAATTATGGAATATTGCAGTCTTCGTTTGGATCCGTTCTGGCAGAGCAAGGAATTATTTTCCTCTGCTGTCAGAAGTTTGGAGCCGTGGAAGACTTGGTTGTGAGTTCCTGTGTGGGCGCAGCCACGGGGAAGGGTCGGTTCCCAGCCTGATTTTAAAGGCTGAAAGGTGCTCCCAGGGATGTTTGTGGGGGTCTCCTCAGCCCCACTCTGGGCTGGGGGAGGATGGAATGTTCCTTCCCTGCGCTAAGGAGGAGGAAAGGGAGATCTGCGCCCGGATTCTTCCCAGGGGATCCACAGTTCTGGATTCGCTCCAGAATTCAAACCTGAAACTCGTGTGTCCCTGCAAGCCAGAAAGAGGTGAAAGTCCTGCTGAGTCCCCCCTGGCTGCAGCTCCTGGTGCTCCCTTGGAGGGTTGATTTCCACTCTGGACTGGTCTCCAGGGGGCTGGAGCAGGGAGGGATGGCCCGTGTGCCCAGAGGGACAGACACTCCGCTGCTGCGTGATGCTTTGGTGCTCTCAGCGCTCCTGCACAAGGCTGGGGCTGCCCAGAGCCCCCCCCGTGCTGCTCCCACCCCCCTTCCTGACCCATCCCCCTGCTCTGCTCTCCCCCCAGATCTGGAGGCCGCCAGTGACATCGCGCTGTACTCCGGGCTGGGGGCGGCGGTGCTGGCGGTGGCCGTGCTGGTGGTCGGCGTCACCCTGTACAGGCGCAGTCAGAGTGAGTACGGCGTGGATGTCATTGATTCCTCTGCACTCACGGGAGGCTTCCAGGCATTTAATTTTAAGACAGTCAGACAAGGTTAGTGCTGTGGTTTCCTTCTCTTCCCCACCCACCCCAGAGCTCCCACTGCACGCTCCCGCCCAGGGGGGCTGGGGAGGGGGTTCTGGCTGCAGGGACAGGACCTGCTGGTTGGAGCTGCCTTGGCCACTGCTCTGCCCTGGCAGAATCCTTCCTGACCACGCCCCAGGGGCTCTGGAAAGGCTGTCCCCAGCTTTTGCACTGACCTTTAGGACTTGGGAAGAGCCCAGATTAAACCAAATCGAAGCAAAGCCAGGCAGCACTGTCTGTAGTTCCTTCCTAGTCAGGTGCAGATCTTTTCTTTGCTCCACTAAGAGTGATTAGTTAGTTACTGATCATTTGAGAACCCCAAACTTGTAGGCTGCTGTAACACTGGGGGAAACAAATGGGTGTAAAACCCCCTTAAGCCCCAAAAACCCCACCAGTGCAATAAAACATGGACAGAACATTCAGTAAGAGCAGCACCCGTGTTCTTTGGAATATTATTTCCTTTGGACAGACAGGTGGGGAGGGACAGGAACGGTGATGGAAACAGAATGTTTCCTGATTCTGTTCTGCCCTTCTCCCCAGCCCAGGCTGCCTGCAGTGGGTGTTGTGTTGGTGGGGTGTGAAAGCAGCCCCATGTCTCTGTTCCCTCTGCAGAAAAGGGAAATATGGTGCAAGAGTTTGTTTGGGGCTTTTTTTTTAAATGTTGTTGTTTTTACAGTTCCTTTATGTCGTGGGAGACATTCCTCACCAAGCAGGAGCTGCAAGAAACTGGGGAAAGGGCTGGGTAGACAGGGAGGTTTTGGAGGAGGTTCAGTCATTCATTGCCAAATCCAAGCCTTTAATTAGAGCTGTGTAATTCTCAGTGACTCTCACCCAGTGACTTTTTCCTTTGTGGTTCAGTTTAAACCTTGTTTCGAATCTGGAGGATTGTTCACTTGACCTCATGTTTAAAGCCATTAGTTCTGGATGCTCTGAAAATACCTGAGCGCACCAATTTCTTAACTTATTAGTTCAGTTCCAGTAACTTCGAGTTCTCTGTCTGTGGGGCTTTTAAATGAGAGTATTTGTAAACAATTCAGCAGAAAAAAAAGGCCAGTTTTTTTTCAGAGCGTTTTCTGACCTTAAAAGGCCCCTAAATGAATAACTGTGGTATTTTTCCCCCCTATTACTCTCGTCCCACTTTCTTTTCAGCCCAGTTCCCCCTCAGGCAGGAAGTTATCATTTTGTGTGAGCTCACAGAAAAGGTCTGCAGGAAGCCCTGGTTTCACCCAGGGGGGTTAATGTAAGGAGGAAAATAAACCCAAAAAACCAAGAAAGGAGAAAGGCAAACACACAAACTCGAATCCAAGACAAAAGGAAGCTCCTTCTTGGTTTCCTGCACTCTAGAGCTGCCTGGAGTGTGGAAAACACAGTGATGCTGGAGCTGTTGCCTGATGTGATTTTGTTCTTTAGCGTTGCCTGATGTGATTTTGAGCTCAGAGAGCGTGAGGAAGGACAAGCAAGGCACTGAGCAGGTGGGGAGGGCTCGGAGAGGGGCTCCTGGGGGGACATTTCCAAGGAGTCACGAGCTCCCTGCTCATCCCACAGGTAACTCCCTGCTCCTCAACTCCTCCATGCAGCCCGACCTGACCGTCAGCAGGACCTACAGCGGCCCCATCTGCCTGCAGGACCCCATGGACAAGGAGCTGATGACGGAATCCTCCCTGTTCAACCCCCTGTCCGACATCAAAGTCAAGGTGCAGAGCTCCTTCATGGTGTCCCTGGGGGTGACGGAGAGGGCAGAGTTCCACGGGAAGGCCCATCCTGGAACCTTCCCCCACGGGAACCACCGGCCATTCGGGACCATCCAGGCCAGGAACAAGGCCATGTACATCCAGAACTTGGCTTCCCTCTCCACCGCCAGCGAGCTCAAGACAACGGCCCTTTTTGGGCACCTGGGGGGCCGTCTGGTGGTTCCAAACACAGGTGGGCGGATCCTTCCTCATTCAGAGCACATAAAAAGAGTTTCAGATGAGCTTGCCTGATGTAGTGTTTTATAACTAAATTTAAAAAAAAAAAAAAAAAAACAAGGCAAGGAAGGAAAAAGTGGGGGCTCCCTTTAATGCAGACTTTGGGAAGTAGGGCATGTTGCCCACACAGGAGATGAGTGATCAGAAGAAAGCCTGGGCTGAGGAGGAAGGAGGCATTATGCCTATTTGAACTGTTTTAAATTACTGCCTCTCTTGATGTCTTCAGCATGAAAGTCACATTAATCAAAGCTGTTGCTTACTTGGATCCCGATCCAAAGGAAGGGCTCCCTGGGAAGGGGGTCGATAGTGGATCAGCATCTGATCTAAAGGGCTCACACTCAAAGCAGCCTCTCCACACCCCACTGCCAGGCTGGGTCAGCAGCTCAGGAGCAACAGCCAGCCCTGGAGAGCAGCCCCTGCTCCCCACAGGGGCCCTGGGGGGGATTTTGGGATCAGCCCCTGCTGCCTTCCTGCTCCTCCCTGCTTTCAGCATCAAAGCTGGCAGCTTTGCAGAGTGGGGCACTCCAAAGTCAGCTGCATCCCGGGGCTGGGCTGGGCACTGAGATGCTCAGTTTAAGGAGCAGAGTTTGGTTTGTGACTGCAGAGTTCTGTGAGGTGTCTTTTAGATGCTGTTGAGGCAGCTGAACACACCCAGCAGCAGGTCAGGCTGGAGGACAGGATGTTCAGACCCCAGCCCTTGCCAGCTCAGAGCTTGTTGTCATCTTTCAGACTCTGGGGAACTTTATTCACTCTAAATTCAACTGTTTTCATTTCACACTGGTGTGTCCAGGCCTTTCTCTTGCTCTCTGGTTGAACTGAATCATTTAGAGCTTTATCCTTCACGTTTCATGAAATGGGCACTTTGAAGGTTACCATAAAAAATGTGGTTTGTATTTAGGGAAGATTGATAACAGTGTACAATCATGCACAACACATGGAGAGTTTTAATTTCTTCCCAGATTGTTTTTATGCTCAGGAATGAACATTACAGAGGCAGAGGCACTAAGTCAGTTAAGGCATAAATTAAGAATTCCCTCACACTGTATATTTAGCTACTTTATATAATGGTAGTTGTATCAATTAGATTATTTAAATATGTATTTGGTCCACTTGCAATTTATGTAATTCTGCCTTTATGTAAGCCCATCCTTGCTAGCCAATTGTAAATTATAGTGTGATCAGGCCACTGCTTTGCTGAGGTTCTGCACTGGGAGACACCTCAAAAAGGTGATTCTTTGTGACCCTGGAACTGTCAGCTTTGATTTCAGAGTTGGAAAGGGGCAAAGAGCTTTCAAGAGGGTTTTTTTGGGGGAAAAAAAGATGTATTTGCCTTTAATGGAAAAATAATGTCTTTATTTCCTTTAATAATGTATTTTCCTTTCATCTGGTGGCATTGCAGTCAGCAGGTCAGTTTTGGAGGAACATTCCTCTGCTGGGCAGCTGTGCAGGTGTCCATCAGAGCCCAGGGGGGTGTGCAGTGTCCTTTGCATCCTGTGCCTTTCCCAAAGGGAAGTTCTGCCTTTGCTCTCTTGCAGGAGTCAGTCTGTTGATCCCACATGGAGCTATTCCTGAAGAGAGTTCCTGGGAAATCTACCTTGCCATCACTCAGAAGGAGTCCAGGTGAGAAGGTTCTTGTCAGATGCTTCATCCCTGTGACTCAGCCAGCAGATAATGCAGCCAAGCACGGGTGATGGGTTCAGATGGGATGAATCCCCAGACCTGTGCTGGTGGGATCTGCACTGGCAGTCCTGGAGCCACGTGCACCGGATCCAACTCTGCAGAGCTCTGGATTTGAGCAAAGACCCCTCCCTGGTGTCCATGGAAGTCACTGAACTTCTTCATCCTGCAGAGCATGAACAGGCTTTCAAACCAATCTGCAGAAACGTATGAGCCTGTGTTTCTTAAGCCATAATCTGTTTTATCTTGGTTACTGTGACAGTATTGTTTGTTGGTGGCAGTGTTGGAAGGCAGAGCGCGGTGGGAGCGGGACCAGCTGGTGCGCTGAAGCAGGGCTTGCTTGCACACAGCAGTTCCACTGTTGTATTTGGGTTAAACAGATTGGGATGTGCTTCGAATCCCAGAATCCTGAGCTGGCCAGTGGATGGAGTTAAGTTACATGGGGGTCTGATGGTTTTGTTCAGGCTCCCCCGTGGAGATGAGCACTGCGATTCCCTGCTTATCCTTTTCCGTAACAGACAGTGAGGTGCCGGGATCTGAACAAAAACACTTGGAAATTCGCAGTTAAAGTGAATTTTAGTTGCTGACAGACGTTCCTGCCTTTCCTCTCTCTCCCCATCCCAGCCTGCAGCCAGAGGGCTCGGATGTGCTGCTGGGGCCGGAGGTGACGTGCGGGCCCCCGGAGGTGTCGGTGAACACCCCCTTCGCCCTGACCATCCCCCACTGCGCCCAGGTGAACCCCGAGCACTGGAACATCCACCTCAAGAGGAGGACACAGCAGGGGAAGTGGGAGGTAAGGCCAGAGCCCCCCTCGCAGGGTTGTACCAGGGATGGAGACGCAATTTAGATTCTCGTGGCCGTGCAGTCGCGGAGCTCAAAGATTGCGGCAGTGACAGACACACCCGAGAGAAACAATTAAAAAAATAAAAACCCATTGTTTGCACTGCAGCAAAGGGTCAGCTTTGTGATCCACCTTTATGATCCACCCCCACGTGGCAGGAGGAGTATTCAGTTTTCCCAGATTTATGTGTAAGAACACCGTTCTGATTGATCACAGCTCCCAGAGAGACCCGCGTCAGAACAAAACGTTATGTCCACGCAAGAATTTATCACAGGAAAGTTAGGAAAGTGCTTAAAAATATATAAGAGTTTAATTTTTTTTATTTTAGCACAGAAAAATCCTGACAGTTTAAAATCTTGTGCCTCTGTGCACCGCATTCAGTGACTGAGCTGTGCTCAGAACCTCTGAAGGATTAGTGCACATTAAACTGTTGTGCTTTTTTAGTTGAACATCTCTTTCTTAATCCTGCCTGGCTGAGGAGATTAGGCTTTGTGCATTTGTAACAGGAGGATTTGATCATTTGAGTCTGTCCATCGGCATTTTTAATGCCATTGGCCACCTGGGGCTGGAACTCTCTGGTGGGCAGCAGTTCAGATGTCCTGAACTTTCTGTGTCATTTGGGGAGACAGACTGAGAACCCTCCTGAAATAAAACACCACCCAAACTGTTACTCAGCATTCCAGAGCCAGTAACCAGACACAAATCCATAGGCAGTGGATTTATTGCATTGCTGCTGCTGGAACTGTTCGGTTCATGGCACTTTGAGGGGGGGGAAATCAGCAGGTAAAACATTTATGGATACAGAATCCATTCCTGGGTTCCACAAACCCCTCCATGTCCTTTCCCTCCTCCAAACCACTGCCTGGTTTGTTGCTCTCCTTTAAACCATTTCCAGGTCAGGTTGGTTTTCCTGCTTTAAGATTCCCTTGGTCAGCCCCATCAGCTGTGGGTCCCAAACACCCTGGGATCAGGGAGGAATCAGCAGATCCCTCCTCTCGTGGGGCTCTAAAGCAGGACTGAGCCTCAAAGGCTCCCCTCAGAGTGGGAGAGGTAGATTTTTTGATGAAGGGAAAACGTAACTGCAGTGGGTGTTCTGGAAGCAAATCAACTTCCCAGCTATTGTTCAAGGTTTGCTTATTGAACTTTAATCTCCGAGGTAACTTTTTAACTTGACATTGGGGGGGGAAAAAATTATCTGGGAAGTGAAGAGCACTTGAAAAAAAAAGATGCTAAAATTGCTTACACACCATCATTATTATTGTATGCTGTACTCACCGGGTCCTGCACGGTGTATTGCCAGAAATCCTGCTGCTGACTCAGGGCTAAATTGGGAATATTTACTCATACAACTAGTCTACCATCTCCCCTTCCCTGAGTGTGGTTCTCAGGAACACTTTGCACTCCAGTTGAATAAAAACCAAGTAATGCAATGACTCCCTAATTGTCGAGGCCTATTGATTTTTACTTTAATTTTTTTTTTTTTTTTATTCTTTTTAAACCTGGATTTCGTTTTGCAGGAAGTGATGTCTGTGGAAGAGGAAACTACTTCTTGCTACTGCCTGTTGGATCCTTATGCCTGTCACATTCTCTTAAACAGCTTTGGAACTTATGCCCTAATTGGGGAACCCATCTCTGACTGCGCCGCTCGACAGCTGAAAGTCGCCGTTTTTGGCTGCCTGTCTTGCAATTCTCTGGATTACAATCTGAGGGTTTATTGTATGGATAACACCCCTTGTGCATTCCAGGTAAACGCTCTCCCTTTTGCTGCTTGGGGTTTGGTTGTTTTCCCGTAGGACACGAAGGTTCCTCCGTCCTGGGGGACAGTCCCAGAACTCCACCAGAAGTGACAATATTGGGTTGTTTGGTTTTTTTTTTTTTTTTTTAAGCCACTGCTGTGTGACTTGCAGTAAGCCCCCTGATTTCTCTGCAGTGTGGATTTACACTGTGAGAGCTTTAGGGCAGCCAGACTGTCCTGTCGTTCCTTTTGCCAGGCAGATGGAAAACCAAAATCCCTGCTTGACCCAGCACAAATGCAGGGCTGGTGGGCTGAGCTGGAGCCTTGGCCCCTGCAGAGCCCTGGGGGCAGCTGGAGCTCAGTCTGCATCCCCCAGAGAATGGGAGACATTCCCAGCTGGTGCAGAGCCTTTATCACACCCCTGAGCTGTCAGTAGCTCAAGATCTCCTCTCCCAGCTCCAACTGGCTCACCATCTTCTTAAACAAAAGTTAAATTATTGTACATTTCCCCTTAAAAAAAAAAGAGAAAAAAAAAAAAACCACCAATCCCCAGGTGGCAGTTGAAATGAGCAGGGTTTTTGTAATGGTATTCCGGGACAAAGCAGGGAAATTCACTTTTGCAGCCTTAGTAAACTCAGAGGCTTTAACAAGACGGTTTTCTTCGGGGAGCTGAAATGAAGGCAGTTGTGACATGAAAGTTCCCTTCCCTTGCCTGTCTCACAGAATGGAAACACGGCTCTCACTGATGTCTGTGTGCTTCTAATAAAAGCAAAGCCAGCAAAAGGATTGTTAAAGACTTACAATGGCTTTGTAATTATACTCTTTATAACACTTACACAATTAGTGGGTACCAGTATCTTCCTGATGAGTCTGTAGAAAATTATTAGAAGAATAATTACCAGTTTTTCTGCATTCACAGGAGTGAGAGCAGGGTGTTTGTAGATAGTGAGACAGCTGTGTATTTACAGAATGATACAGCCCTTAAAAGCATGTAAATATTAGTGTGAACAGGGAGAATACTGGGGGGGGTTTGGATAAAGAGTCGAGAGTTGGGGTTACCAAGTTCTGTTTGACAGGTAATTCTTTGCAGTGCAGTTCTGCACTTCAGACAGAAATCCAGCACCTTCGAGGGGCTTTGAAAACAGCCGTGAAATAATCTGCTCCCCTCATGGCTGGAAATGAAAAACTGAAGCCTCCCTTCTAATTCTTTGCCTCGTACAAACCCGACCACCAGGAGTTAAAACAAAGCGAACTCCTGGAAAAATTGCTCTCTAATGGGAATCCATTAGTACAGTCTCCGAGAGCTCGAGCAGGCATTGAGTGTTCAGAAGGTCACAATGATTCCAGGAGCTCTCCTGACAATAACTTGGGTACTGGCAAGCACTAAACCCCTTCGATGGACACAGATTTGATATAATTTATGTGGATAAAAAAAAAAAAGGTAATTTGGAGAGACTGCTTGCCAGCTGACTTTTAAAGACTTGAGCAACCTTCCCTTCCTCACTGGTGTTTTTACTGTCACAGCACAGGAATAAACATTGCTTAAGCACAGGCAGGGGTGATTTTTTTTTTTTTTTTTTTACTATTATGCTTTAAATTCACAGAATTACATAAAACTTTAGCTGGGAACAGACCTCTAGAGGACTGTAATACAAACTCCTGCTCCAAGTCTGCCCTCCAGACTGCTCAGGGTCTTGTCCAGTGGCTCTGAAGACGCCCCAGAGAGGAGAAATGAGGCTGAGTTATTTGACCTGATGTGTTCTCTTGGTGTGTGTGTGTGTTTGAGTGCTCTTAAAGCCCTGGGAGAAGTTTCTCAGCAGAGCTGCTCTTGGCTCCAGCTGTGCCTAAACCCAGCCCTTTAACTGGGATGGGGGTGAATAAACACCAGTCCCATCAGCTGCCCCACCAGAGAAACACTCCTGGGGTGTGCTGTGGGTGATCCAGGCCCCTCTGGACAGGTGGATTCTCTTGGGATTTGGGGTTTGTTCCTCATGCTGAACAAATTCTCTGCTCTGCCCTTGCAGGAGGTGGTTTCGGATGAAAGGCTCCAAGGAGGGCAATTACTGGAGGAACCAAAACTCCTGCATTTTAAAGGAAATACCTGCAGTCTCCAGATCTCAGTCCTGGATATCCCTCCCTTCCTCTGGAGGATTAAACCATTTACTGCATGTCAGGTATACTTCTGGCAGTTTTCCCTGGTTAGGTTTGCACTGGGATGGGCAGAACCCAGAGAAGGCCACAGTTCCTTCTGCTTTGGGAAGGTGTGGTTTAAATCTCTTGAGTATGCAACAAAAATGAGTCAGAGTGCCAATATTCCTGTTAAAACTTACCACTCCTGAAGATGTTTCTGACATCTGTTATTCCAGGTTTGGTACAACTCTGAGTATGTGGCTGAAAATGACATTTAAATATTAATCATGAGTCAAAACCACAGCATGCAGATACCAAGAATTAGAACTGAAGAGCAGCAAATTATTTTTTTTTTTCTGCACTCCATTAATTAAAGAGGCTGTTGAAAAGCGGAAAGGGAAAATCAAAACAAAGGAAGGATTTCTAAGGATGTGGGTTACTGGGAATCAGAAGTGATGTGCTGGCACATGGAGTGGGCTGGTCTTAAAATACAGAACTCAATTAGACTATGTAATCTCCCTTTTCCCCAGAAGCAGAGAGACAATTATCTATCATTCAGTATTTTGGCAAAAAAGCTGTTTTAAATGTGTTGCCATGTTCTCCAAAACATGAGTGTAATGGGCTCTGAAACTTATAAACACAGATCCAGAGCCAGATAAAGCCTTACCTCATTAAGGATATAGGGATAATTTATGCTTCAACTTAAGAAATGAAAGAAAGTGAATCATTTTCAGCTGCTCGTGAAGAACAGCTTTTGAGTGTTTTGTTTCTTCTGCTCACTGAACTGCATTTTAAAAGCCAAACCATTCAGTGTTGGGATGCCCCACTACTGCAGCAAACACCTCCCAGGAGTAGGACGTGCCCAAGCAGCAAAAGTCGTGGGAGTTTCCTCTAAATACAACAAATTGAGTCCTGCCTCACACCAGGTTAGGAACACAGCTCCATACTTGGATTAATTTATTGTCTCTGGGTCCCTTGTCCGGGCCTGAAGGATGAATGTGTGTGACAGACTGAAATTCAGCCTCCAAGTGCTGTTTGGAGTCTGATCAGAGCAGGGGCTCAGGGTTCAATTAAAGCCTGTGCAAAACCTCTGCTGCCAGAACGGGCTCTTACTGACCCAGAGGAACATTCCCACTTTATAACTGAGTGGAGTTGGGATGACTTGGCCAGCTCAGGAACACAATAATTGTCTCTGAGAGGAACTGCAGAACCGGCTTTGTGTTTCCCCCTCAGTGCCGTGTGTGGCGACAGCTCTGATTGGGTTGCAGCCTCTTTACAGATAAAAGTCTCTATTTCTGCAGGTGGAGTTCCTTGCAGGGCTCCCCCGGGCTCTCTCCCACGTCCCACACTGTGCAAGCAGCTGCTTGTGCTGCCTGTCAGGAACAGAACCTGGACCTTCCCTGTGCTCCACCAGTGAAACCATTCCAGGGCAGTGGGATGAGGAGCGATTCCTGCTCAGGGTGTGGGGGGATGAATAAATCATGATGTAAATCTGGCTGCAGAGCAGTTAATGGCAGGTGGTAGCAGAATTCCTCCAGACTCTGCGGAGTGTTTGTTTGTCCTGGCCGTGCTGCAGGAGCAGCTGCCGAGCGCTTGGCTCCCTTCCCACCGCGCTCCCGAGGAAACTGGGGGAGCCCCTGCAAACTGGGTGGGTGCTGGAGCAGCCTGGGCAGTGAGCAGCATGCTAAGAAGCCAGGCAGGCACCTTTGGGGGGCTTGAAAGCAGCTGTTGTTCCCCCCACCTTGTGTCCCTGGGAGGATCCGGGCTCTGTCTGGAGCCGTGAGATGATTTACATTCCCCGTCTCTGCTGGGAACTTAATTATAAAGGCAGAATGAAAGTGAAAGCATTTCTGGAATACTTGAACCACTCATCCTTCACCACACGTTGTCCCTCTGTATTGTTTCATGTGATTCCTTTCAGCTGAGTGATTCTTCCACTCGGGATGAAAGCAGAGATGATTACCCTGAAATAAAAAAAAAAAAATCTAATTATGGTTGCTCCACTTGTAACGTTTTACTAATGTTTCCTTTATCACTGTCACTATCTTGCTGCTGCTCCCAGCTCAGGATCCAGCTGGGGCTGGAGATGGGCACAGTTGGGGTGGTTTCAGCTGGAGGAGGGAAGGCTGACAGAGCCAGGGCAGTTCTTGATGGGAAGCTCCATTTTTGGGGGGTTCTGCAGTACAAGGGGATGGCGAGGAGACACAGAGAAGAGTGAGAGCTCTGACCTCGGCCAGGAGGAAGTGAAGTACGATATATTTAAGTTTTAGCTGCATCATCTCCCATCAAATGGGAGCTGAGCTTTCAGTGAAGGTGTTTTATCAGCAGAATGGGCTTTGTGCTGCTGGGAGCTTGAAGGGATGGTCAGCGGAGCAGCAGGGAGGAGCCCTGGCTGGCTTTGCTCGGTGTCCTGTGTCCCTGATGCCATTTCCCATGTCCCTGATGCCATTTCCCACGTCCCTGATACCATGTCCCCATCCCTGATGCCATGTCCCCATCCCTGATGCCATGTCCCTGTCCCTGATGCCATGTCCCTGTCCCTGATGCCATGTCCCTGTCCCTGATGCCATTTCCCCGTCCCTGATGCCATGTCCCCATCCCTGATGCCATGTCCCCATCCCTGATGCCATGTCCCTGTCCCTCCCCTGGCAGGAGGTGCCATTCTCACGCGTGTGGCGTGGCAGTGCCCGGCCCTTGCTCTGTGCCTTCTCCCTGGAGCGCTACAGCCCCGGCACCACCCAGCTCAGCTGCAAGGTCTGCGTGAGGCAGCTCAAGGGCCACGAGCAGGTCCTGCACGTCCAGACCTCCATCCTCGAGGTAAGGGCCGCTCCCACCTTGCTTGGTCGCCTCGCTCGGGGATGGTTTGGGTTGGAGGGACCTTAAAGCCCATCCCGTTCCACAGTTCTGTGATATCCTGATGATGTTCTAGGAGTTCCTCCACAACCCCAAAAAAAAAAACACCCCAACCTCTTAGCTATTTAATTTCTTGCTGGCATAAGCTACAGGAGGAACCTCAGGCCTGGGTTTGGATCCCTCCTCCCAGCTGCTTTGCTCTCCCCTTTCCGTGCAGAGCGAGAGAGAAACCATCACTTTCTTCGCACACGACGACAGCAACTTCCCTGCCCAGGTGGGCCCCAAGGCTTTCAAGATCCCCCTCTCCATCAGGCAGCGGATCTGCGCCACCTTCGACACCCCCAGCGCCAAGGGCAAGGACTGGCAGATGCTGGCACAGAAAAACAGCATCAACAGGTGATGGCAGGCACAGGGAAAGGGGATAACTGGCTGGTGGGGGGCGGTGGTTGTTCACCAGGATTAAAGGGGGTGTTTGGAGTCATTAAGGGACTCAAGTACCAGCTTTTATGTACAAAACAGCTGCTGAGAACAGGGGCTTCCCCCTCTGAAGGGCGGTTCTTTGCTCTGGAGTGGACCTTTGTACACAACAGTGGGGTCTTGGTGAAGTCCAAGACCGTAGGAGGATTTTGGCACCGTTGTCTGCTAAGAAAAAGTTTAAAGTGCTTAAGGGGCTGCCTGTTCTCTCTCAAAAAAAAAAAAAAAAGAATTATAAAAAGAATCCCATGGCCTGTTTGTTGTTCCCTGCAGGAATCTCTCCTACTTTGCCACCCAGAGCAGCCCCTCCGCCGTCATCCTGGACCTGTGGGAAGCCCGGCACCAGCACGACGGGGACCTGGACTCGCTGGCCTGTGCCCTGGAGGAGATCGGGAGGACGCACTCCAAAATCTGCGACATCACAGACACTGAGCTGGAGGAGCCTGACTTCAGCTACAGCCGCCAGAACGGGCTTTAGTCCCTTCCCCCACTGCCCAGCTCTGGGATCTGACAGCGCAGGTTCCCTGGGCAGGGAGGAAAGAAGGGAATTCTGCAGGTGGGGATGGGAACTCCCGTCCCACGGGGCAGTTCTCGGTGGGAGGAGCAGAAGCAGCCCTGCTAAAAAAAAACAAAAACATCTGGTGATAGGGAAAAAACCACGACCTTCTCCTCCCCCCTGTCCTCCCTTGTTTTAAAACTCACCTGGTCAAAAAGTCCAAAACAAAAACGACCCATCTGGCAATCCTGGGGCAGGAAGGAGAGAGACACAGAGCCGTGGAAGGTAAATGTTCTATGACAGTGGATGTTTAGGAACAGTAACACTGATATAATGCCTGGTGATAATCAGCAGATATGATGTTGGATGTTTAGAGCCACTGGAGGTTAACCCTGGTTTAAAGGTTTGGCACTTCAAGAGTGGTTTAAAATCCCATTGGAGAGCATCACGTTGTCACTTTATGTCTGCAACAGGAAAACTGATGATTTGGCCTTATCCTGTTCAGGTGTTTGAGGAATGAGAAGATTCCCCTAATTATTCCATATCATGTGCATTCCAGAGAGTTTCTTTTAAAAATTCGGTCCCTTAATGAATGTACATTTGCTGCAGAGCTTTCCTGCCTGCTCTGCTCCCAAAATTGCAGAACAAAACCCCTCTCTGTGAAATTGGGGTGTTGCACAAGCAAGAGGAGTTTTCTAATTTTCTTGGTTTGCAAACTTTGACTTCTAGTCAAAAACTGTTTCCTTGGGGGTGGATTTAAATAACCAAATAACACATGGGAAATTTCAAGCCCTATTTTAGCAAGTTTACATATATTTATTTCTTTTTTATTATTCCTTCATGTTCTGGGACTAAACTAAGTGAAGGTGAAGTCAATCAGCACAGCTTAATTTTGGTTTCAGACTGAAACAATAAAGCCCAGGTGGTACTGCCAAAAATGGGCTTGGGAATTTTGCAGGATGCAGAGCTGGCTGTGTTACACTTGGTTTAGCCACAAATTGCATTTCCCACCACAATCAGAATCCAGCTGGAGAATTCGCCTTATTTTTTTACCCATTTCATACAAATCTAATTTCTTACGTCGACCGAACCAAAAAGAGCTGTCACTGTGAGTGAGGGGCCTGGTGGAACTGGTGCTGAGCCAAATTTAACCCTTATTTTCACCCCTATCCTTCCTAATTAGCCAAGGTGCTCGTTGGGTCAGTGTGGGCCGCAGGAGCACATTCAGAATAAAGCAGGAACAGAAAGGAGGCTTCAGGAGCTTTATGGAAATGAAAGAAACTCAAAACGGGCATTCTGGGGCTTTTCCCCCCTTGTATTTGGCCCTCCACAATAGGGCAGGTCCAGAGAGCAAATCTCTTTAACAATCTGAAACTGTTCTTTACCCAGGATTCCAGGTCTGGAAAAGTCTGAACAACAACTCTTGACTGGTTCCTGCTGCTCTGGAACCGCAACATGTCACTGCCTTCCCAGCTCAGCAGGCTTGGAATAGTCTGAGACTTAAAAATACTGAGACTTCTGCAAACGTTTTCTGCACTTTAGTGCTTCATGGAGCCTGACAGGCTGGTTGCTGTTTGCAGGGTGGCTGCGAGCAGGTTTGGGGCTGAGACACAAACACCGGCTGATTTTGGCAGCAGGCTGTCACTGCTTTTAGCAGCACACGCTTCTATCTGGCTTTGAATTATATTTCTAGTGACTGCCAGTCCTCCTCCTCCTCCTCAGAAACCTGTTCTTCGTTGGACAAAATGCTAGGAATTAGGAAAAAAAAATAAAAGAAGGAAAACCAAAATAAGGAATGGCACCCAGGGAAAAGTGGTGGAGTTTTGTGAGCTGTTGTTGTCTGGGAAACCAGCTCCAGCCTCTCTTCTCTCCAGCAGGGAGATTGTTCTCAGCTCCTCAGCTCTGCCTGCTCAGCAGCTCTCTGGGCTGGGGTCCTCCAAAAATGCAGGTTCCCAGGATGTCCAGTGTCAAGAGTGAATGGGCTGAAAAAAAAAAAAAAAAGGCAAAAAAAAAAGCAGGATTAGAGGCCAGAACCTAAAAATGTATTCCTTCCCTCTAGTTTATAAATTATTACATTTGGAAAACAATTTTCACCAACTAGAAAGCAAGAGAAATGTAATTTTACACACGTTAGATTCCATCTGGCTGCCCTGAGCCTGATCAGGTGAACCAGCCATTTTGATTTTACATCACACCAAAGAATCTGCTCTAATATATTTTCATCTTCCTAAGCACTCTGCCCAGGTACTTCTGTGCTGTGAGTCATTTAAGACTAATAGTTGCATTCTAAAAATGACTTACAGTTGTGTCAGCACAACGTGCAGCCCCAGCTCTGCCAGCCACAGCACCATAAAGCTCATTTACAGTCTGTGCAACCCTGAACTCCCACAAAAAAATTGTATTGGCCTTTTTTTGTAACAGATGAAAAGATACCAACACAATTCTCTTAAAATACGGGGGGAACTGGGTTTGTTATTATTTTTATCTCTGGCAACAGCTGGTCTCCCCCTCTCTGGGCATCGCTGGCTTTGCCGCAGGGTCAGAGCAGCTTATTCAGCATAAATCACCCAAAGAGGGATCCTGCAGGACTCCAGGGTTTTAACATCACACCACAAGGCCCTTCTTCTCTTTCCCCTTGTGAGTTTTAACACATTCAGCAGCTGAGCAGTCCCATATTTCCCACCACAAAAAAAAATCCAGCTTTGTGTACACAAAGAACTCAGACAGGGGAGGAACCGTGCTGGGTTTCTGCTCATGAGTTCAATCTTTTTTTTTTTTCCAGGCTGTTTCTGCCTGTACAACACAGATTTAAGCAAAGGGGCTGCATTAGTTCTTGGAAGGTAATTAACTGAGTGGAAAAACCAGGAAATTAGATTTCCAAGTCCTTACCAACTGTGAATGATCCCAAGAGTCGTCTTTCTGGCCTTTCTCTGATTTCACTGATCCTCAGGAATTTCTCCACCTGTTTCCCAGCAGCAGAGGTGGTGAGAATAACTCCCCGAGGACCTTTGCCGTGTTAACCCCGCCGAGGGAGGTTTTCTGGGGCTTGTTCATTCCTGGGATGTGGTTTGGTGGAATTACTCCCTCGACACTGCCCTTGTTTCAGCAGAGGCTGGAGGGTTTTCCAGGGCAGCAGCGAAATGGCACCTCGGTCCTTTTCCTGGACAAATAACAGTGGCCTGGTTAAAATGACTTTAAAGGATTCCTGAGCAAACACAGTAACTTAAAAACACACAACACCTGTAGCCACAAACAACACTCAGTATGCTGGCAAACACCACCAATCATTTTCTAGTCAATGCCTTCTCTCTCGTCGCCAATACCAGCAGAAACGGTAGCAAAAAGTCTCCTTTCCAACACAGACAGAAAGAAGTAAATCACTCTAAGATTAAAGACTCACTTAGAGAATTGTTTGGTAGTAACAGTGTCGGCAGTGCAGGAGGCAGAACCCGAGTTCTGCTCGTTGCCACAAGTAAAGGAAAAAAACCTGTCCGTATCCGTGTCCACTGTTCTGTCCAGAGATAATATAAGTGTCTAGGAATTTGCCACTATATTTTTTGTATTAGAGGTGAATAGTACAGATTCTTACTAGTGTTTCTTGTCTGGGGCTCGGGGGGGTCGGGGTGTATTGTAATTTTCAAGCTATTGCAAAAGCTGCTTTAACTGAGCTGTGGAGTTGTCTTGACTGGTTTGTGCTTTAACAAGGGAGCCCGGGTGGGGCAGCTGGAGCTGAGGTCACCTGGGAGCTGTGGGGACAGGGGTCGGTGGGCTGTCCCTGCTGGGTGCTGTGCCCAGCCAGAGCCTCCCCTCGTGTTCAGCAGCCGCTCCCTCCGTCCGCCCCGCTGTGAAATCCCCCGGTCCAGAACTGTCCTTCTGCAGGCCTGGGGAGGTGTCAAACCCCTGTGTTACCCGGTCTCTGTACATAAATCCTGCTGTCCAACCCCCAGAAGGAACGTGCAGCACCCAGGGGAGTTTTAGGGGTGCTCTGCACCCAAGCCTGGCTCGAGCTTTTGTGAAGACACGGATCTCCCAGCCAGGGGGAAAGGGGAATGTTCCCCTCCCAGATCCTGCCTGATGCTCTGGGTTTGCAGCTGAAAACCCCTGGTGCTCCTCCCAACACACTGAAATGAAACCTGGAGCATCAACCCTGTGGTTGATTTGTAGCCGATTCCTTCGGTTTTCCCCCCGGTTTGGGCACTGAAGGTGGAAAGGGGAGGGAGGAATATTTTTAGGTGAAGCTGTAGATTTTTTCTTGCATCCTTTCCACTAAAACCCAGCCCCCATCCCTGAACCTCAGGGAGTTCCCTGGCTGCAGCCCTGAGCAGTGCATACACACACAAATAAATGTTCACTCCTGACATCACAGAATTCGTGACCTGGGAGGTGGAGTTGCCTTCTCCCACCTCTTAATCCAATTCCTCCCACTGTGACTCTGATCCCAGCTGACACCTGGGTCCAAAAACATGAATTGTGCACCTTCTGCTGATTTGGATGAAGTACAGTTGGACTGGTCAGACTCAGAACAACGTTACACACGACAAGAGCTAACACACAACAACAACGAAATTCCCATTGCATCTTCAACTTCCAAAACTTTTGACCAGCCCTTTGGTGAAAAGAGGAGGGGGGGAACTTCAACCTAATCACAACAAAACGTAAATTATTTTTTAAAAAGTGGAAAAAAAAAAAAAGAAAAAAACAAACCCACAAGTATTCCTCTAAGAGAGACCTGTTTTCTCTTCTGCTCCTTTATTTTTGCAATGAAGAGGTTCTGAAAACATTGATTCTGGGCTCATTTGACTGAGCATCCTTCTCTCCCCCGGGTCCAGTGTGTTTAGGACTGAAGGAGAGCAGAGGTTTGAACGCTTTTCTTTAGTATGAAGCTGAAGGAGTAGGGAAGAGAGACAGAACATGAGATCAAAAGCATGGCCTTGGCTTCATACCACACTTTTTCTGTGCCTTGTTCTATCAATGTAAATTCTGAATGTTGTACAGTAAAATACTTGGGAAAGACTCCTTGGAAAAAGGCTGCACTGGCTTCTT